CATTTCAGTGGTTCTCAACCATGACTATGCTGAGAATCTCTTGGAGGGTTTAATAGAAAATGCTGATGTTCAAGCTCAAACCCAATAGGTTCTAATTTAATTGGTCTGGGGTTGGGTGAGTCTGGGCATTGTTACTATTTTTTTAAAGTCCTCAAGTTGATCCTAATGTGTAGCCATCTATACCAAAACCCACACTTAAACCTTAAACTGGTGACACCTGGCACAGAAAAGCCTCCCAAGGCAGGGCCCATCAGTCAGATTTCCCATTTTCACTGAAGCTCGTACCTGCAGGAAGCCAAGGCCACTCCCAGGGTTACTGGGGCCGAGCCGGGGCTGTGCTGGGGGTGGGGCCACAAACTCTGCGGCCCTTAAGAAGGGAGGTTGTAGCCTGAAGACGAGGCTCCTGGCTTCTTCTTGTGATCAGGGCAGGACCCGCAGATGACTAGGCATTCTAAAGAAATCCACAGGCAGAAATGAAGTCCCTTCCTGGGCATACAGAGGCCACAGCAGCCTCAGCAGCAGTTCTGAGTTCTGGGGTTCTAGAGGACCAGGGGTGACCCTGGAGAAGAATGGGCCATTGTTGAGTAAGAGGGGGCCCTGCCTGGCAGCCCTTGCTGAGTTCACTTGAAGGGCCAGAAATAAAACTCACTGTGGGGTGCTGGATATGGCCCAGGAGGGCTTTGAACTCAGTGCCTATAGATTGGAATTTGAATCCCAGCTCTATCTTGAACAGCTGTAGGGTCTTGAGAATGTCACTTACTCTTTCTGAGGTTCAGTTTCCATGCCTGTAACATGGCATCTAACTCAGAGAGGTGTTGTTAGCAAAGTAAATTATGTGGAATTTAGAAGATAATGAAGGCTATGAAGAAAAATAAAACCTGAAAGGATGATGAGGAATGCCTGAGAGGGGGATGGGATAAAACAAGATGATTTATGCAAAATGAGCAGCTCGGTACCTAGAAGGCAGTAGCCCCCTCACCCATCACCACCCTGGCCTCATCTCCTCGGGGAGAAAGATCTCTACTTACCCTGCTCCAGCCACACTGGTGTGTCCCTGCCAGTCTTTCAATACAATGTCAGGGCCTCTGCACTTGTGGTTTTCCCTGCTAGGGAGGCTCTTTACCCAGGTAGACTCAAGGTTCACCCTCTTAGCTTGTTCCAGTCTTTGCCCAAATCTCACTTCCACAGTTGGGCCTTTCCTGGCCACTTCGTTTAAACTTGTAAGGGCCCCATCCCCATCTCAGGCATTCCTCATCATCCTTCCAGGTTTTACTTTTCTTCATAGCATTAATTATCTTCTAAATTGCACATAATTTACTTTGCTTACCAGGTGATAGGTGCTCAATAAATATTTGTCGAATGAATAAAGAAAAGGCTGTTGATATTATTAGCATCGTTATTATTGTCAGAGTTTGCAACCTTTGGCTATCTGCTGCCCAACTCTTATTAAATACTAATGGAGATGATTAACATTCATTTCACTAAATTTTAACATCTGTGGGTTTTAGTCCTAGAGCTTTGCTCTTCTCTCTCTTTTCTTTTTCTTTGAGACAGTGTAGTGACGCCATCTCCACTCACTGTAGCCTTCACCTCTAGGGTTCAAGCAATCCTCCTGCCTCAGCCTCCCGAGTAGCTGGGACTACAGGCATGTGCCACCACGTCTGGCTAATTTTTGTGTTTTTAGTAGAGACGGGGTTTCACCGTGTTGGCCAGGTTGTTCTCAAACTCCTGACCTCATGGATCCACCCGCCTCGGCTTCCCAAAGTGCTGGGATTACAGGTGTGAGCCACGGCACGTGGCCCCGCTCTTCTCTTTCCATACTTAACTTCTATACTTTTGTTGGCTTGTTTAAATGCATGAGTTCAAATATTCCCCTTTATAAGTTACTCCCTCATTTACTCCCCTGGATTTGATCAACTGATTGCATTTACTATTAAGACTGTTTTCTCTCTGCCTATTAGAAAAGCTCTTCTTGGTTGAACCACACTCATTGAATACCTGAATGTCTTAATTTGAACTCATCATGTCCCTTTCAACTTTTCTTGCCAATTATTCCTTTTCTGGATGCTGTGTTTGTAAATAATTCCTGGGGTATGTTTGACTCTTTTTTCTCCCCTGTCCAAATCAACCATCTACTCTGGCATGTATTATTTTGACATCTTTCACACTTGTCAACTTTTCGTCACAACTAAAACACTTGGGTTATTATCTCAAATGGCCTTTATTCACTTTCCTTCACTCTTGGACACAGTTAGTTGTTTCTTGGCATAACATAGACACTTTCATGGTGATACTCATTTACCGATAAAGCTGCTGCTTCTTTATTTTTTTATTTTATTTTTTGAGACAGAGTCTCGCTCTCTTGCCTAGGCTGGAGTGCAGTGGTGCAATCTTGGCTCACTGCAACCCCCACCTCCTGAGTTCAAGTAATTCTCCTGCCTCAGCCTCCTGAGTAACTCGGATTACAGACATGCGCCACCATGGCCGGCTAATTTTTGTATTTTTAGTAGAGACGAGGTTTCACCATGTTGGCCAAACTGGTCTCAAACTCCTGACCTCAGGTGATCCACCCGCCTCGGCCTCCCAAAGTGCTGAGATTACAGGCGTGAACCACTGTGCCCCATTTAAAGTTTCTTTTTATAAAATAACATTAATTTCTTTCTGATTAGAAAAGAACAGGATTTAATTTATAAAACATAGAATATACAGAAATGAGTTAATTAAAATCATACATCATCTTACTTAGAGAAACATTCATATTTTGTTATGTATGGGATTAATATATACTTTTTAAAAATAAAATTGTGATTATATTATCTATAAAGTGCATCCAGTTCTTTCATTGAACATTTATGAAACATTTGTCATATCTTATGATTATATATTCTTTTAAAAAGTACTGATGGAGAGTAGTGATATTGAGATTAGACTGCCGGAAAAATAGATAATATCCAACAGTCCGTACACCCTACTGAGAGTAGAGATTGTATCTTTAGATCTGGCTGGAGATTCAGGATGAGGTTGTATCCTGGGTCGCAGTAGAGGACTGAATGCTGAGCAAGTGGACACTGAAGGCCCAGAAGATGGTTCCCTGTGGCCAAGCTTGGCAGCAAGGGAGAGGAGCTGCCTGCGTGGAAATGAGCCAAACTGGCCAGGCCAGGAAGTGAGACAGAGTCACAGGGGAACAACACACAGTGACGGATAAAAATCCGGTGTGATGTTTGAATCACTGCAAAGAAAGGCAGTTAATGGTTCAGCGTCCTCTCCATAGGACACCCATAACCCTGTCATTGCAACAACATGGATGGAACTGGAAGTCATTACATTAAGGGAAGCAAGTCAGGCATAGAAAGCAAACATTCTGTTCTCACTTACTTGTGGGAGCTAAACAGGAAAACAAACGAACTCATGGAGACAATAGAAGGATGGTTGCCAGAGTCTGGAAAGTGTTGCAGGGAGTTGGAGGAGAAGGGGGATGGTGAACGGGTACAAAAGAGTAGTAAGAATGAATAAATAAGGCCTAGTATTTGCTAGCACAATAGGATGACTATCATCAAGAATAATTTAACCATACACTCAAAATAACTACAATAGTATAATTGGATTGTTTGTAACACAAAGGATAAATATTTGAGGTGATGGACACCCCATTTACCCTGATGTAGTTCTAACGCACTGCATGCCTGTATCAAAATATCTCATGTAACCCATGAATGTATATACCTACTATGTACCCACAAAAATTAAAAATAATTTAAAAGGAACTTCAGAGAACAAACAACAAAAAGCCTAGTATGGCTGGAGCAGAGTGAGACGGGGCTTTGAGGAGAAAAACTCGCAGGAATTCCTGTGGGGCCCTGTAGGCAACTGACAGGACTTTTTGTTTGTTTGTTTGTTTTTGTTTTTTTGAGACGGAGTCTTGCTGGGTCTCTGGCTGGAGTGCAATGGCGCGATCTCGGCTCACTGCAACCTCCGCCTCCCGGGTTCACGCCATTCTCCTGCCTCAGCTTCCCCAGTAGCTGGGACTACAGGCGCCCACCACCACGCCCGGCTAATTTTTGTATTTTTAATAGAGACAGGGTTTCACCATATTAGCCAGGATGGTCTCAATCTTCTGACCTCGTGATCCACCCACCTCGGCCTCCCAAAGTGCTGGGATTACAGGCATAAGCCACCGCACCTGGCAATTGTCAGGACTTTGGCTTGGACTGTGAGTGAGAAAGGGAGCTGTAGGAAGCTTTTTCAAAAAACCACCTTTGTGCCAGGTGCAGTGGCTCACACCTATAATCCCAGCACTTTGGGAGTCCACAGTGGTCAGATCACTTAAGGTCAGGAATTGAGACCAACCTGGTCAACATGTTGAAACTGCATCTCTACCAAAAAAATACAAAAATTAGCCAGGCGTGGTAGTGCGTGCCTATCGTCCCAGCTACTCGGGAGGCTGAGGTGGGAGGATTGCTTGAACCCAGGAGGTGGAGGTTGCAGTGAGTCAAGACTGCACCACCGCACTCCAGCCTGGGCAACATGAGCAAAACTCTGTCTCAAAAAACGAACAAACAAAAAAACAGGACACCCATAACCCTGTCATTGCAACAACATGGATGGAACTGGAATTTACAGAGTTGTGCAGTCATGACCACAATCCAAATTTAGAACAATCCTATGACTTCAAAGGGATGCCTTAGGGCCATTCCCTGGAACCACTCCTCTATTCTCTCTGTATCTATTGGAGGGTTCTAAGCAGAAAAGAAAGTCTGACTTATATTTTTATCACTATTGTACCTTTTCTGTTAAAACATCATAATCTTCTTGTTGCTTTTTCTGATTAGATGGCAACTTGAATTTTTAGGGAATCTATCCACCAGTTTCGGTGCACCCACCAGGCATGACAGTTGAGGTCTGATCTTCCAGCCACTGTGAGTACTGAGCAAACTTGGCAGGAGGCCACTTTCACTGGCTCAGCGCACCCTGACCAGTTAAAGCCACTGTGTCAGCTGCTGGGTTCTGGCTCTGCCCACTCTTGGCTGCATTTGGGGCCGAAGTTCCCTGTGGGAGGCTGTTTTCCGAGGGAGCCCAGTGTTTACAGGCGTTCAGGTCTGCTCCGCTCAGCTGAAGCAGAAACAGAGACCTTTTGCATTACTTTGGTTCAAGAGCAAGGTAATTTGGAAAAAAAGTTTTCAGCCGAAGGTGTCAGCTGCCTCTGAGGCCTTTGCCGATTAAACCAGGAAGTGACATCCGAAATGGTGTCCGGGAATGGGAAGGAGGCCTGGGGATTCTAAATTATCAGCTGTTTAGGCGCCTGAGGAATCCAGGGGTGGGAGACTGAGGAAAGGATTGGGGCAGAGTTCAGGAGAGGTGAGGGGCAGGAGAGGTGGGTCAGAGAAAGGAAGTTTCTGAGGCGCAGGCCTAGGCCTGTTGGCCACTGCAGAGGCCGAGGCCTATGTTTTTCCAGGAAGTGAAACCTGAAAGTCACTTTTCCCCTTAAGCCTCACTTTCTTTATCTGTAAATGGAGAAAATAACATTTACAGCATAGAGCTGTTATAAAGATTTAATGAAATAATGCCTATAAGCACTTTTAAAATGCTTGGTACACAGTAGGCCTTCGATAGACTGTAGCTGTTACGGTTTTTCTTGTTGTGCCACGTTATTCTTGTCGGTTGTTATTACCACATTTTGTTATTACCATATTTTGTTATTATTATTACTAAGAGGAATTTAATGCAAGGAAACTGAAACTGAGGTCACATGCAGCTCCCGGGCCAGTGTCTCTCAAACTTTAACATGTTAACTTTAACATCTGAACATCCTGTTAACTTGCAGATTCTAATTCTACAGGTGTAGGGTGGGGCCCCATCTGCTGGTCCCCAGATCACACTTTGAGTAGCAAGACACTAAAACTGGGCTGGGCACAGTGGCTCACATCTGTAATCCCAGCACTTGGGAGGCCGAGTTGGGAGGATCACTTCAGGCCAGGAGTTCAAGCCCTGCCTGGGCAACACAGTGAGATCCTGTTTCTACAAAAAACCTTTAAAACATTTAGCCATACGTGGTGGCTAGTGCCTGTAGTTCCAGCGGTAGGAAGGCTGGGGTGGCAGGACTGCTTCAGTTCGAGGCTGCAGTGAGCTGTGATGGCACCACCGTACTCTAGCCTGGACAACAGAGTGAGACTGTCTCAAAAATAACAATAATAAAAATTTTGAAAATAAAATTAATTTTTAAAAATTTAAAAAATTAAAGACACTAAAAGCACATCATGCCATGTAGCAGCCACTTGTGGCTTTTGAGCCTTTGAAGTGTGGCTAGTCCAAATTGACCTGTGTTTGTAAGGGTAAAATCTGTATCAGATTTTGAGGACTTAGTACCAAAATAAACAAAAAATAAGTAAAAGGATGTAAAATATCTCTTTACCAATTTATTCATCTATTGACTATGCATTGAAATGGTCATACTTTGGCTCTATCTGGTTAAATAAAATGTATTATTATAATAAATCTCACCTGTTTCTACTTTTCTTAATGGAAGTAGTAGAGCATTGTAAATTGCACAGGTGACTAACTTTCTATCTCTATTGGACAGTGCTGCCCTAGAGCTGTCTTCAACTTTGTAAGGTCAGTTCAGGATTGACCAAAGGCTTTTTGAGGGATTCCGTTTGAAGTACTGAACCTTGAGAAGTGGGCTCTGATTTCTGACCTAGAGGCCCACAGTCAGTGAGAGGTCAAAAGGATGGATCTCGGGGTCAGAGGAGAGAAATGACCATCACAGAGAAGAACTGAGACTGAAGTTGGAGAGTTTGTTCTACAAGTCAGTAGGGACCACAGTCACCGTCAGCACTGACCACAGGTTTCTCCTAACCTCGTGTTGTCCCCAAAGTCCAAAATATATGACAATGCCCTCTTTCCTTTCTTTGGTGACAGACAGGAGGCGACCACATGAGACCATGGTTGAGACACCTGGTCCTCCAGGTACTGAGGAACTCCAGGGGATTCTGTGGGTCTCGCGGGCAGCCAACACCTCTACCTGTTCCTCAGAAGATCGTGGCCACCTGGGAAGCCATCAGCCTGGGAAGGCAGCCGGTGCCTGAGTACTTCAACTTTGCCCATGATGTGCTGGATGTGTGGAGTCGGCTGGAAGAGGTGAAGCCTGTTCTGTCCTAGAGTCCATCTGGGGCATCTGAGGCTGCCCTCAGGTACCACAATGAGACTCAAGACTCCAAGACATGTTGATGAGAAAATCTGGACCTGGGAATTTTGCTGGTTCTAAAACGTAAACTGTTAGCATTTGAGACTTAGGAAAAAAAATCTGAGTCAGTGTTGTGAGCCTTAGACATGCTTGTTCCTTCTCTGAAGTGTCCTGCATTCTTGAGCCCAAATCACACAGTGAGACAGTTATGTCCCTTCCGATTCCCTTCTAGTTGTTCATCAACTGAAGGAGGAAGTTTTGTTTTGCGGCTACTCTTTGATGTCTCTTGTTCAGTGTCATGCGCTTCTCTTCCAAATAAGGAAAGAAGGCCGGGCGCGGTGGCTCACGTCTGTAATTCCAGCACTTTGGGGTGCCAGGAAGGGCAGATCACCTGAGGTCAGGTGTTCAAGACCAGCCTCACCAACATGGTGAAACTCTGGCTCTACTAAAAATTAAAAAAATAAAATAAATTAAAAAAAATTAGCTAGGCATGGTGGCACACACCTGTAGTCCCAGCTACTTTGGAGGCTGAGGCATGAGAATTGCTTGAACTCAGGAGGCAGAGGTTGCAGTGAGCTGAGATCATGCCACTGCACTCCAGCCTAGACAACAGAGCGAGACTCCATCTCAAAAAATAAAATAAAATAAGACAAAACAAAATAAAATAAGGAAAGAATAGGGCTCAGGCTCAAAGCTTTTTGCAGATCATAACAGATACATAGAATTGAATTAGAGAACCCTGATTTATTTGTGTGTCTCTGTGCATCTGCTTTCTTCTTTATTTTCCCTTATATCTGTGTCTGTTGAGTCTCTCTATTTCATGGTTACTTTTTATTTGTGTTACATGATACTAACTTTTCATTTATAAGAGGAAGACCTACTTATAAAACTGTATTTCAACCAATGTGAAGCTTAACTGATGAGAAAAGCCTTTTCCCTGGGGGTTTTGTCCAAAACAATTACAGACAAATGTTTAACTTCGTTGTTGCCTAAGGCGATGGATAACAGTAGGGACAAACAATAGACTCACCAAAAAGTGAAAAAAGAAAAGCTGGAGAATACAAAACTGGAAATACAAAATTTAATTCAAAGAATTGTATTCATGTTAATTATAACATGAGATTGTTTAAAGAAAAAATATGATGTAAATGGCATTGTTAGTAGATACAGTAAAATTAACTGTCAGCAGATATAGTGAAACTTATGAAGGTGGTATGAGGATGACTGAGACTTAAAAGCAGGCTTTGCAGTCGGATAGACATTGTTCATCCATGTACTTGAAGTGTGACCTTGGACAAGTGCCCTAAGTTCTTTAGATCTCAACTTTCTCATCTGTACAATGATAGTCATACCATATGCTACTTAGAGTAATAGTGAGAATTAAATGAGAAGTGCATGTAAGAGATGAAGCCAGGATGCTCCATTCCTGATGGCCTACAAAAATCTAAGTTCTTTTTGCAATACTAGGGGCATCCTTGGAAGACTTCTCCTAATGATAAAAACAAGCAAGCAGGATTAGGTGAGGAAAAAATGGTAGAATAAGGACTTTCCAGCTATGCGGTAGCCTTGAAAAATAACAGCCCCCATTTCTTGTGCATCATGGCAACCATTAGAGGGGACAGAATGGAGTTGGAGTTTTTTCAAAGCTTCACTTAGGAAGAACTGTTATTATTTGAGCTGCCCATTGGTTCTTTAGAAGATCCTACTTGTAAAACTGTATTTGAATCAACTTGAAGCTCAACCAATGAGAAAAGCCTTTTCCCTGGGGGTTTTTGTCCAAAACAATTACAGACAAATATTATAGCTTCATTGTTCCCTAAGGTGATGGATACCGGCGGACAAACAATAGACTCACCAAAGAGTGAAAAAAGAAAAGCTGGAGAATCTAATGTCTGTGGGAGCTTTAAAAATTATATTGTATTCCTGGAAATCTAGAAATCAACACACCTAAGTAAGGCTGTGTTCTTTCCCAGGGCTTTGCACATGCTTAGGAAAGATCTGAGGAAACTCTAAGCTCTCACTTCTGGCAGACTGAGAGTTTGAGCATGCAGGAAATTAAGACTGAGGCAGGATTGTTAATTGCCTGGCTGAATGCTAAAGGTGTGCCTCAACACCCACCCAAAGACTGGGAGATTTATTGCTTTCAGGCATTTAAAGAAATTTCTGTCTAATCATAAGATGACTACTAAGCTAACCAAGTAGAGATCTCAGTGGCCACATAGAACAAATAATGCACACTTCACAGAAATGGTTCACAAAAGTCACTAAACAAACAACAACAATCAGCAACAACAAACCAAACTCTGGGGAGTTGCAGGGAATGGATGGGGGGGAGGGATCTGATTTCCTGAGTAATCAAATGATGTAATTTTAAATGTATAGTTTTTAACAAAAATTTACAAGATGCTCAAAGAAACTTGAAATAGCATGGCTATGGTTATCAAAATAATGCACCCCTTCCCCAAGATTTTTACATCTTAATCCCTGAAACCTGTGAGTATGTTATCTTACACGGCAAAAGAGACCTTGCAACCATTATTATAACTAAAGATATTCATATAATGAGATTATTCTGGATTATCTGGATGAGCCCAATATAATCATAAGGTACCCTATGAGAAAGAAGGAGGGTCAGAGTCAGAGAAGGAGATGTGACAATGAAAACAGAGGTGGGAGTGATGTGGGGCCATGATCCAAGGGATGTGAATTGCCTCTAAAAACTAGAAAATGCAAGGACACAGGCTCTCCACTAAAGCATCCAGTAGGAAAACAATTCTTCTGATACCTTCATGTTAGTCCACCAAGACTGATTTGGAACTTTTTATCTCCAGAACTATAAGGCTGTATATTTGTGTTGTTTTATGCAACTAAGTTTTTGGTAATTTATTACAGCAGCAATAGATAGGATTATTCAAAACCAAAATAGATTTTGGCACCAAGAGTAGCAATGAGAGCTGTAATAAATACCAAAGGATGTGCAAGTAGGTTTGGAATTAGGTGATGGGTAGAGGCTTGAAGAATTTTGAGGAGCACAGAAAAAAGCCTGGATTGCCTTGAGCAGACTGTTAGTAGAAATGCAGATATTAATGATTAATGAACGAGACCTCAAAAAGAAAGGAGGAACATGATAGATGAGACTTGTATTGTTTTAAAGAATCATGAATCATGAACAGACTGTTGGTAGAAATATGAACATTAAAGGCACAGATGATAAAAACTCAGAAGGAAATGAAAAATGTAATATCAGAAACTGAAGGAAAGTGGATCCTTATTACATAGTGGCAGAAATTTTGGCTGACTAGCGTCCTAGAGCTATATGGATAGAAGAACTTATAAGGGATAACCTTGGATATTTAGCTAAGAAGATTTCCCAGCCAAGTGTTGAAGATGTGGCCTGATTTCTTCTTGCTGGTTATATTACAACGCTAAAGGAAAGAAAGAGATAGAGGAAAGAATTGTTAAGCAAAAACAGAGCCAGAACTTGGTGGTTTGAACAATTCTCAGCCTTCTTATATTATAAAAGACATTAAAGTTAGGATATTCACTGTCAGAAAAGTATGCTGCAAAGGGAAATCCAAGAGTGTGGTTGGACAATCTTTTGCCAGCAACTCAAGTATCAAAAAGTCACAGAGAACTTTTTAAAGAGATTAGACATGGGGCTCCTGAGTTCCTTCAGTCATGGAGGCAGAAACCAGCAATAGAGATGGGATTATGTGGAAAAGATCTGTGGGGGAGCTACTTCTCTAATGGGATGAATCACTGAGACATACATGAGAGAACCATTAGTTTCTTGAGAATGTTATATCAGCAGAAACACTGCCATCTTGTACTGGACAGAGAGAGGAAAATATAAAAGAAGGCTGTTGGACTCCCCAAATTCTACAGGCAGGAAGCAGATGGTTAAAGCTACTTAGCTGCAAACATGTGTCACCCTTCTTGAAAAAGAAAAGATTGTTTAGGGCAGAGTTGTTAGCCAAGAATGTGGAATTGGGAGCCCAGAGGGTGGAGCTGAGCAACTAGAAAGCAAAGCCACAACCACAGAGGATTAAGGGCTTTGAAACATAATAGAGTTTTCTCAGTTGGATTCAGAGTTGCTTGGGATTGGTGACTCATTGTTTTCCTTTTATTTTAATCCATTGTTTGAATGGATATCTCTGTGACTATTATGGAATCCCTGCTTCATCATTGTATTTTAAGAGCAGATAACTTAATATTTAATACTTGAGTAAGGAGCAATAAAAAATGAAGTTAAGAAATAATTTTATTTACTAATAGCATCAAAAAGAATGAAATACATATAAGTAAATTTAACCAAAGAAGTATAAGGCTTGTACACGGAATATGACAAAACATTACTGAAATAAACTGGAAAAGATACAAACAAATAGAAATACACCCCATGCTCATGGATTAAAGGAATTAATATTGTTAAAAAGAAAATACACCCCCAATTGAGCTGCACATTTAATGTAAACTTTATCAAAATCCTAGGAGACTTGTTTACAGAAATAGACAAGCTGATTCAAAAACTCCTATGGAAATGCAAGGGACCCACAGGGACCAAAACAATCTTGGGAAAAAAAAAAAAAAAGAAGACTAACACTTTTCTATTTCAAATCTACTGAAAAGTTACAGTAACCAAGACAGTGTGGCACTAGCATAAAGATAGACTTGGATAAATAGGTATGAATTCAGAGTCTAGAAATAAATCCACAAATCTACGATCAATTGATTTTCAACAAGGGTACCGAGACACTTAAATGGATGAAATAATTGTCTTTCCAACTAATGATGCTGGCACAACTGGGTGTTCACATGCAAAAGAATTAATTGAGTCTCTTACCTGACATTAAATACAAAAATTAGCTCAAAATGTATCAAAGACCTAAATGAAGAAACAAAAAGTATAAGAAAATTTTTAGAAGAAAACATAGGAGTGTATCTTTGTGACCTCTGATTAGGCAACGGTTTCTAAAGCAAAAGCAACAAAAGAAAAAATAGATTAATTGGACTTCATGAAAATTAATAGTATTTGTATATGAAAGTAAAGAGACAGCTCACAGAATAGGAGAAAATATCTGAAAAATCACATATTGGGTAAGGGTCTAGTATCTACCACACTTAAAGAACTCAAACTCAACAGTGAAAAAGACAAATAACCCAATTAAAGTATGGGCTAAGAATCTGAATAGACATTTCCTTAAGGAATATAAACAAATGGCCAATAGACACATGAAAAGATGCTTGACATCTTTATTCACTAGGGAAATGCAAATTCTAGCTACAAGGAGATACCACTTCATAACCAGTGGCATGGCAAAAAAAAAAAAAAAAAGGCACAATAACAAGTGTTGGAGATGATGCAGAGAATTAGAACCCTCCAACATGCCTGGATGGAAACGTAAAATGGTGCAGTGCTATGGAAAACAGTTTGGCAGTTCCTCCAAAAGTTAACATAGAGTTATTACAGTACTGACCCAGGAATTGTACTCCTAGGTACATATCCAAGACAATAGAAAACATGTGCTCACACAAAAACTTGTACATAAATCCTCATAGCAATGTTATTTAAAATAGCCAAAAAGTAGAACCAACCCTAATGTCTGTCAACTGATGAATGGATAAACAAAATGTGGTCTATCCATACAGTGGAATATTATTCAGCCATCAAAAGAATGTAATACCAATTCATGATATGACATAGATAAATCTTGAAAGCATTGTACAAAGTGAAAGAAACCAGACATAAAGCTACATATTGTATGATACCATTCATATGAAATATCCAGAAGATGCAAATCCATAGAGACAGAAAGCAGATAAGTGGTAGCCAGGAGCTGGAGGAGGAGGGAATGGGGAGGGACTGCTAATTTGTACAGTGTTTCTTTTTAGGGCAACAAAAATGTTCTGGAATTAGAGAATGGTGATAGCTACACAACCTTGTGAATGTATTAAGAAACAGTGAGTTGTGTGCTTTAAAATGGTGATTTTTCTGGTACCAGAATTATATTTCAATAAAAAAGGGAAAAACAGAAAACAGTGTAAATCATGTGCTACCTTTTGCATTAAAAAGATAGTAGAAAAAATATATATGCTTGTGTTTGCCTAAAGAAACTATGGAAGGATATGCAAAAAACTAATACAATTGGTTACTTAGTGAGGCAGAGGAAGTGGAAAACAGGGCAGATAGGTACAAGGAAGGGAGCAAGCCTTTTCAATGCATGCCTTTCCATATTGCTTTGCTTTTGGAACCCTGTGAATTTTACATGAACTACTATAAAACATTAAACAACAGCAACAAGCAAACAAAAATTCTCAATAAATTACTTCTATTTTTTTTTTTCTGCCTGCACCACCATCTAGGCTGGACACCGCCCCCCAAATCCTGCCTTCTGGTGGGTCAATGGCACAGGAGCAGAGATCAAGTGGAGCTTTGAGGAGCTGGGGAAGCAGTCCAGGAAGGCAGCCAATGTGCTGGGGGGTGCATGTGGCCTGCAGCCTGGGGACAGAATGATGCTGGTACTCCCACGGCTCCCGGAGTGGTGGCTGGTCAGTGTGGCTTGCATGCGGACAGGTCAGTAAGCAGGGCGGCTGGGAATTTTAGCTGGGGTCAGACACAACCTGCCAGAGCTTTGCGGTGTCCACAGAGTCTTGAAGATGGAGTGAAAATAAACCCTATGTGGAGTTGTGCTTACTTCCTATTTGCCCAACAGTCACAGACTTGATTGTATAATAGGGGCCAGACAGTGATGTAATTGATAAAAGCAGGTCAGTGCAAGGCAGTAGGGAGTGGTGAGGACTGCGGCAAATGGGAGATCACATGCTTTATCAAATGGGGTCGCTGCTTCTCAACTCGAACCAAATGTTCCCACGACAGGATGAATACCGGTGTTATCAGAACTTCTGATTTGTAATGGAAACCTCTGGATTTTTATGAAAAATCCTCCTGTCTTTTAATGTTGGCATCTATCATTTTAAAAAGTCCTGACTGGGACAAATCAAGCTTATTTTCTGCTGGTCGTGGTTTGGGAGCCTTGCTTTAGTTGCTAGAATTTTACCTGAACAATGCAGTTATAGATGAGGGACTCCTATAACCAATCTATGTTAGTTTCACTCGTAGACTTTATGATTCTAATTATCACAGCATCATTCAGCTGCCAAAGGAAGGCAGATAAAGAGGAAATAAAAGAACTAGTGATATTATCCCTTGCAGGAGGTTAGGGGGACAGCTCCTCCTGTTGTCACGAATGTCCAGGGCAGTGAAACATTACCTTCTTAGAATGGTTCCTTCAGCAGAGACACAGAGGAGGAAAGAGGCCGCAGTGAGCCTAGCAAGCTTCCGCTGATGCTGAGTGAATGAGTGATCATGCACTTATTCAGAAGGCTAGGGTTTTTAGGCTGCTATTATTATTGTTACCTCTTCCAGCTCAGGCATTCCAACCCTCCCCAGCCCCTTCCTGCCCTCATCTCTTACCTCTATACCCAAGACCTTCCCTGCTATCCAGTCAACATCCACTTCTGTTTTATGCCAGGGGTTGTCATGATTCCCGGTGTCACTCAGCTGACGGAGAAGGACCTCAAGTACCGGCTGCAGGCGTCCAGGGCCAAGTCTATTATCACCAGTGACTCCCTAGCTCCAAGGGTGGATGCCATCAGCGCTGAATGCCCCTCCCTCCAGACCAAGCTGCTGGTGTCAGACAGCGACAGTCGGCCAGGCTGGTTGAACTTCAGAGAACTCCTCCGGTGAATTGGGGTTCTCCAGGAGAACAGCAGAAAAATGAAGTCATTCCCCCTTTAAGCAACAAAAGATGAAATGCGTTGCTGATTTCACACACAGAGAGTGAATTAGAGAGGAACACTCCCCTTGGCAGCCAGACTGACCTGAGCATAATCCTGGTCACCACCTTAATGTTCAAGGTCGCTCATTCAGTCAGTGCTGGATTTGTCAGCAGCTTTTCTGTGCTTCATTTGCTTCTATAATGGCGGTAGTGGTTATTAGAGCTACCATTCAGAGTACATGAAATAACCTATATGGTGCATTTAGTACAGAGCAGGTGGTCAATTAATAATCAACTTATGGCTGTGTATTGGGTACTTAGCGTATTCCTAGATACTGTGCTATGTAAACCTTCACCTTCATTCATTCATGTAGCAAAGGTTTAATGAACATCTATTTCGTGACAAGCATTGTGTTTGGTGTTCAGAACACCATAATGGGTAAGACATCATCTTATTTAATCCCTGAAAAGGACATGATGATGTGCCCTTCAACCCAGTTTTACAGATGAGGAAACTGAGGCTTGGAAAACTAAAGTGACTTGCCCAAGGTGCTAAAAAGTAGTTAAGTCAGGATTGGGCAGAGCCGAGACCCTATCTGCCTTAGAGCAAGGACCTGGTGGAAACCCTTCTTAGAATTTGAGACTTTGTCCTGATTGGAAGCCAGAACCCAAAAGGGGCCTCTCAGGGGCCTGAACAATTGAGTCACGAATGCTCACCCCACAGACCAGCTGCATCAGATTCACCTGGATGCTGTTTTGAATACAGATGACAAGGCCTCACATCTGACCTACTTAACCAGACATAGATGAGCAAGAGCCCTGGGGATCTTTTTTTAAAAAATCAGCCCATAGGCCTGGGCGCCGTGGCTCACACCCATAATCCCAGCACTTTTGGAGGCCGGGGCAGGCGGATCACCTGAGGTTGGGAGTTTGAGACCAGCCTGACTAACATGGAGAAACCCCTTCTCTACTGAAAATACAAAATTAGCTGGGCGTGGTGGCGCATGCCTATAATCCCAGCTACCCGGGAGGCTGAGGCAGGAGAATCACTTGAACCCAGGAGACAGAGGTTGCAGTGAGCCAAGGTTGCGCCATTGCACTCTAGCCTGGGCAACAAGAGCGAAACACTGTCTCAAAAAAAAAAAAAAAAATTCAGACCATATAATTTTGAAGAGCTGTCTGTGGGCCTAGATCAGTGGTTCTCAATTTTGGTTGTTACTAGAATTACTGAGAAGCATTTAAGAAAACATCAAAGATTCCGATTTTATTTTGTTCAGAGTGGATAGACAAGTTTCTTCCAAAAATTTACCAGGGGACTTCACGTTGCAGCCAGGAATGAGAGCCAGTGGATTAGCTGGTCATCCAGATCTCAGAACTTTGAGAATTACCCAGATCTCAAAATCCCATACTGGGGGAAACCTTTAGAAAACAGTTCTAAATTATTAGAAATTGCGGTGGGGGTGGAAGCTGTGCCTAAATGTGCAGAATTATAGACACGGACATGTGTGTGTTCTACCAGAAAGTCCTCATACCTTGGTAAGAAAGCATGGGCTCTTTTGAGTGAGTTATTTAACCATTTGAGCCTCAGTTTCCTTGTCTGCAAAAGGGTTATAATGATAGTACCTACCCTATGAGGTGATTGCAGGTTACCCAAGCCAGAGCTTTCAGCACAGCACCTCACACGTGACGCTTATGAAACGATAGTCATATTGTTGTTATACATATTACCAGTGCTACTAACTGTTTTTACTATGGTAGCGCCACCTAGTGTTTTTACGTTTTACAGGGAGGCACCTACAGAGCACAACTGCCTGAGGACAAAGAGTCGAGACCCGCTGGCCATCTACTTCACCAGCGGAACCACCGGGGCCCCCAAGATGGTCGAGCACTCCCAGAGCAGCTACGGACTGGGTTTTGTGGCCAGCGGAAGGTACCAGAGCAGCTTGTCTAGAGAATCCAAGAACAGAAAGTGGAGAGTGGTCTGGAGGGAGTGGTGTGAGGGGAAGGATGTCAGGAGCTGAGGTCAGAGAGCCAATAGGAGCAGCTCAGGAAGGATCTTGATGATTCTGGATTTTACTCTGAGTGAAGTGAAAAGCCACTGGAGGTTTCTTTTTAAATCGTAGCCTATATATATATATATACACACACACACACACACACACATATATACACATACATACATAAACATATACATACATATATCATAAATGTACCCTTTTAACCATTTTAAGTGTACAGTTTAGTGTCATTAAATACATTCATACTGTTGTGCAACCATGATCACCATCCATTTCCAGAATTTACTTTATCTTTCCAAATGAGAACTATGCCCCCATTACCCAATAACGCCCCATTACCCTCTCCCCTCACCCCTGGTAACCTCTATTTTACTTTTCATCTCCGTGAATTTGATACTTCAGGTATTTCGTGTGATTGGCATCATGCAGTCTATCCTTTTGTTTTGCAATTTGGCTTCTTTCACTTAGCATAATGTCCTCAAGTTTCATCCATGTCGTGGCATGTGTCAAACTTTCCCTCCCTTTTAAGACTGAAAAATATTCTATTGTATGGATAGACCACATTTTATTTGTTTTTTTATTTTATTTTATTTTTATTTTTTTGAGACAGAGTTTTTCTCTTTTGCCTAGGCTGGAGTGCAGTGGTGCAATCTCCGCTCACTGCAACCTCTGCCTTCTGGTTTCAAGCGATTCTCCTGCCTCAGCCTCCCAGGTAGCTGAGATTACAGGTGCCCGCCATCACACCCGTCTAAATTTTGTATTTTTAGTAGAGATGGGGTTTCACCATGTTGGCCAGCCTGGTCTCGAACTCCTGACCTCGTGATCCTCCTGCCTCGGCCTCTCAAAGTGCTGGGATTATAGACATGAGCCACTGCCCCTGGCCTCGACCACATTTTAAATAATCCATTCACCTGTTGATAGACACTTGGGTAGCTTCCACATTTTGGCTGTTGTCCACAATGTTGCTATAAACACTGGCATACGAGTATCTGTTAGAGTCTCTGCTTTTACTTCTTTTGGGTATACATGCAGAAATGAAATTGCTGGATCACATGGTAGTTCTATGTTTAATTTTTTTTGAGAAGCTTTGGATATTTTGAGCAGAGGAGTGACGTAATCTAATATGTTTTTTAAAGGCTCACTCAGGATGTTGGGTTCACAACGAAACTGTAGAGGAAACAGCTAAAGAAGATGACTAGTGCATTAAGAGGCAAGCATGGTAGCTTGCCCGGGGAGAAGTGGGAGAAGAGATGAGATTCTGAATGTATTTTCAACCTAGACCCAATAAGACTTGCTGACAGAGTCAGTGTAGAATGAGAAGGAGGAGTCAAGGATGGCTCTAAGAAGAATGGCCTGAACAACCGGAAGCACTAAATGATGGGGGAAGAACTGTGGGATGAGCTGTCTAGTGGGAAGAAAACCGAGTTTGTTTATAGAGTTGTCAATTTGAGAGCCTTCTTAGACATCTCCATCCCCTTGTTAAAAGTGGAGATGTTGAGTGGGCATTTGGATATACGCGTCTGAAGTTAGAGAGAAAGATTCATGCTGAACTTATCAGTGTAAAGATGGTATTTCATACCATGAGATGGGATGAGATCAGCAAAGTGTAATATAAACTGAAAAGAGAATGGGTCTCAGGACTGAGTGCCTGAGGCATTTCTGCACTGAAGGGGAGACCAGGAGGACTCAGCAGAGGAGACTGAGAAGGGAACAGCCAACGAAAGGGGGAGAACCAGGAGTGCCTGTGTCCCAGGATTCAAGTGCATGACTGCTTTTCTGTCTTGCATGTTTGCAGACACTGTTTCCCATTCCTGGGATGCTCCTGCTTCTCTGCCTCACCTATATAATCCCTATGCATTGTTTATGTCTAACTCAAGTGTCATCTCCTCTACCAGAGCATTTCTCAGAAACTCATCTCCAACATTGCTCTGGATTAGGTGCCTATTCTCTGTAATTGCACAAGGCTTTGTGCTTAGCTCTGTTAAAACATGCTCTCCAGCGGCTTCCTAGATATTTATACTTCCTAAACTATAAGGCCCTAAAGCAAGACTAATTGTTCTTTTCTATATCCCTAGTGCTAACCCAGACTAAGTGCTAAATAAATGTTGGCTAAATAAAGTGACCTTAGCATAGAGTACTGGGGTTAACTTTTTCCCTTATAGATCACACCCACTGGACTGTGAACTTTCTGGAAACTCTTTTTGCTTCTGTATTCTTAGTCTAGGGCAGAGGTACATGGAAGATGCTCAGTAAATGCCTGTTGAGACAATAGTTGACTTGATGGTTCTTGTTCAGGTTTCACAAGTATAAGTGAGTACCCACTGAGCAGGGCTCCAAATGGGGTGATATAGATAATACAATCCTTCTTAAAGGTAGAGTCATCGCCAAGGGTGCTGACGTTCTCTAATTTTTGGCAGACGGTGGGTGGCCTTGACTGAATCGGACATCTTCTGGAACACGACTGACACTGGCTGGGTGAAGGCAGCCTGGACTCTCTTCTCTGCCTGGCCTAATGGAGCTTGTATTTTTGTGCATGAGCTGCCCCGAGTTGATGCCAAAGTTATCCTGAATGTAAGAGGAAAAACCAACAACACCCCATATGTATTGGGTATAAATCAGATGAGTGGGATATAGATTTCAGGCTGCAGGAGAAAACACATGAATCAATGACTTTAAGGCTTCTTTGGTGTGGCTCCCGGGCCTTCCATAATCTGGTTCCTGACCACCTGGTTCCCTTCCATCACTGCCTATGCTCTAGCTAGATTCCTAGATTAAGACCATTTCATTGCTATTTCTCCTACATGGGGTGCCCTTGTCTCCACCACTTTCTTCCTTATGCCTCTGCCAAAACCCTAGGTATTTGTCAAACCCTTAGGCAAAATCAGTCAGTGCCTCAATTCCAAATGCTACCGTCCATGGTGTTTAACATGAGTAGTTGGCCCAACTAGAGAGTCCTGGTGACTCCTGCTCAGCCTCCCAGGGTCTTCTTATAGGGAGGGGGGAGATTGGTGCCCCCAGTCAAGACACAGGTCACCTTTCTCCAGCCCCCCATATCCTAAGTGTCATTCCTGAAAATGTCAGAGGGCTCTTCTGCTCATACTATTTGTACTGAGATAAGCTGTATCACCTGGTAGCTAACTGCACAGGTCATGCCATCAGTCAAAGAGTCAGACCTGGACTCTGATCCTACACCTTTGATTCGCTAGTTGTGTGGCCTTGGGGAAGTTGCCTAATCTCCCTGAACTGCAGTTTCAGCCTCACCTATAAGAAAGGGATAACGTATCTCTATAGAGTTGCTGCGAGAATGAAATGATACAAGGCAAAGGGGCCAGCACATAGTAAGTTCTTTTTTGAAATAATTTTTAATTTTTGTGGGTACATAGTAGGTGTATATCTTTATGGGGTACATTAGATATTTTGATGTAGGCATGCCATGCATGAAAATCACATCATAGAGAATGAGATATACATCCCCTGAAAGCATTTATCTTTTGTGTTACAATCTAATTATACTCTTTCAGTTATTTTAAAATATACAATTAAGTTTTTATTGACTAAAGTCACCCTGATGGGCTTTAAAATAATAGTTCTTATTCATTCATTCTATTACTTTGGTACCAACTAACCATCCCCACCTTTCTCTCAGCCCCCAACTACCCTTCCCAGCCTCTGGTAGTCATCCTTCTAATCTCTATTTCCATGAGGTCAATTGTTTTGACTTTTAAATCTCACAAATAAGTGAGAACATGTGAAGTTAGTCTTTCTGTGCCTGGCTTATTTCACTTAACATAATGATCTCCAGTTCCACCCATGTTATTGCAAATGACAGGACCTCATTCTTTTTTATGGATCCATTGTGTATAAGTACATTTTCTTTATCCATTCATCTGTTGATGGACGCTTACGTTGTTTCAAAACATAGTAGATTCTTTTTTAAAAAACAATTATTTTCATAGGTTATGGGGGAACAGTAACTAAAAGGTGGTGTTTGGTTACATTAGTAAGTTCTTTAGTGGTGATTTATAAGATTTTGGTGCACCCATCACCTAAGCAGTATACACTGCACCCAATTTGTAGTCTTTTATCCCTCACCCGCTTCCCACCCTTTCCCCCAAGTCCCTAAAGTCCATTATGTCATTCTTATGCCTTTGCATCTTCATAGCTTAACTCCCACTTATGAGGGAGAACATAAAATGTTTGGTTTTCCATTCCTGAGTTACTTTACTTAGAATAATAGTCTCCAATCTCGTCAAGGTCCCTGTGAATGCCATTACTTCATTCCTTTTTATGGCTGAGTTGTATTCCATTATATATATTTATATACCACACTTTCTTTGTCCACTTGATTTATGGGCATTTGGGTTGGTTCCACATTTTTGCAATTGCAGACTGTGCTGCTATAAACATGTATGTGCAAGTATCTTTTTCATATAATGACTTCTTTTCCTCTGGGTAGATATCCAGTAGTAGGATTGCTGGATCAAGTGGTAGTTCTACTTTTAGTTCTTTAAGGAATCTCCACACTGTTTTCCATAGTGGTTGTACTAGTTTACATTCCTACCAGCAATGTAGAGGTGTTCCTTGTTCACTGCATCCATGCCAACATCTATTTTGATTTTTTGATTATGGCCATTCTTGCAGGAGTAAGCTGGTACCACATGGTGGACCAAATATAGTAGATTCTTAACCCATATTGATTGTTATCATCATGATCAAACTCATCACCATCATTATCCACGTAGTGTTTGATCAGCCAGTGTATGGACCTTCTCCTCGCATTGTCCCCAGCTCTGACATAGTGTTTTCATTATCTATTGCTATGTAATAAATTATACCCAAACATAGAACTTTAAAACACAAGCATTTATCTCACAGTTTCTGATGGTCAGGAAGCTGGAGGCAGCTTAATGAGGGGATTTGGGAATAGAGTCTCTCATGAGGTTGCAATCAAGAGGTCAGCAAAGTACGCTCGTGTTCATAGCAGCATTAACAATAACTAAAAGGTGAAAGCAACACAAGTGTCCATCCACACATGAATGAACAAACAAAATGTGGTGTGTACATGCAAAGGAATATTACCCAGCCTTAAAAAGGAAGGACATCTTGTTATATGATATAATGTGGATAACCCTTGAGGACATTATGCTAAGTGAAACATGACAGTCATACAAGGACAAATATTGTATGATTCCACTTACATGAGATACCAAGAGTAGTCAAATTCATAGACACAGAAAGTACAACGGTGTTTACAAGGAGTTAGGGGAGAGAGTAATGGGAAATTATTGTGTAATGGGTACGGAGTTTAAGTTTGAGAGGATAAAAATAGTCCTGGAGGTGGATGGTGGTGATGGTTTCACAACATTGTGGAAATATTTAATCCCACTGGACTATACACTTAAAAACCATTCCAATGGGCAAATTCTATGTTGTGTGTATGTTACCACAATAATTTTAAAAAAGATATTAGCTAGGACTGCAATCATCTTAAGGATTGACTGAAGCTGAAAAATTGCTTACAAACTCATGGTGGCTGGGTACAGTAGCTCATGCCTGTAATCCCAGCACTTTGGGAGGCCAAGGCGTGTGGATCATGAGGTCAGGAGTTCACAACCAGCCTGGCCAAGATGGTGAAACCCCGTGTCCACTAAATATACAAAACTTAGCCAGGCATAGTGGAGGGTGCCTGTAATTCCAGCTACTCGTGAGTCTGAAGCAGAGAATTGCTTGAACCTGGGAGATGGAGGTTGCAGTGAGCTGAGATCTTGCCACTGCACTCCAGCCTGGGTGACAGAGCGAGACTCCATCTCAAAAAACAAAACAAAACAAAACAAAAGAAAAAAAATTCACTGGTGGTTTTTAGTAGACTTCAGTTTCTCACTGGGTGTTTGCTAGAGTCTCCAGTTTCTCACTGTGTGCACCTGTCCATAGGATGGCTTGAGCATACTCAAAACATGGTGGCTTGCTTCCCCCAGAACAAGGGATCCAAGAAAGGGAGAGAGAAAGAACATCCAAGACAGAAACCGTAGTCTTTGTACAACTGAATCTGGAAAGTGATATTCATCACCTTGACAGTATGCCATTGCTGTCACAGACCCACTTTGGTATGAGGTGAGAGGGGATTCCTCCAAAGGTGCAAATGCTAGGAAGTAGGGGTCACTGGGCACCATCTTGGAGCTGAATTCCACACATAGTTTTCAACTTGTCTGCTTTGGTAGTGAGAATATAAAGATGCAGTGCATTTGGCTCCATCTTCATGGTCCCACCCCAGTGATTCTAAGGACATCTTTCACCCTTTGCTTTTGTTTAGACTCTCTCTACATTCCCGATAACCACCCTCTGCTGTGTCCCAACCATCTTTCGGCTGCTTGTGCAGGAGGATCTGACCAGGTACAGCCCATCTGTTTGGTGCTTTGAGGGCCTAAGTATGTGAATAGACAGCATGGGTATCCACACATACAACTATCCTCTCATTCCAACTCTCTTTCTATCTTTCTCTGTCTCTATATATTTTTCTGCCTCTCTTTTTGTCTCTCTCTCGCACACACATTTATACACATACACATTGACAAGTCAACATACCTGTAAACCTCACAGATGCCGCTCAAGAACAAGCTTCTGGCCCCCAAAAATTTGTATCCAGATGGAACTAAATAGATTTAGGGCAGTCTGAAATTTTAGCACCTGAGATAGGCCTCTCCCCACACCATACACCCATGGGCTATTCTCTCAGCAGTGTGTCTGCTACTTCTGTGAGGTGAGAGAAATGATTGGACAATTTTTAGCCACCTATGAAGTGGGGTCTGTGGCCAGGGCCCTCAGTTCTGGTGAAACTAACAAGCCCACACCACAGTAGATGCCCCAACTCTTAGCCTCAGACTCACACCAGCCAACTGTTCTCTGACCACATGCCATTGGGCACCCAAGAGAAAGGGACAAGGCACTGATGATGGCTCCATCCTGGATGAAGCCAAAGCAACATCTTCTGGCAGAACAGGGCTAGTTGCTGGGGTATATGGAGAAAGGCCCACCGTCCTTCAGTACCCACCAACCCTGACCTATTCTCCCTCTTTTGTCCTCCCCCAAGTCATGAGGAGTCATCCTCTCATCTTTCCTAATCACATGAATCTACCCACCAAGTGCCCAGAGGAGGGCGTTCTTACATGCTTCTGAAAGTGAATTCTTCTCCAATGTAAGAAGTTCATCCCATTCGGTGATCTGATATGTGCATCTCCAGATGATGATTTTGGCTGAAAGCAAGCTCCAAGTACCTTGTTAAGAACAATGTCGTTGAATGCCATTTGGTAGTACTAAGTAACTTCGTCAAGCCAATTTGATCTCCCTTCTCCTCCAAGATCAAAAATGTACTTGCAATCACTGATTTTTTTTTCTTTTAGTTTGGATGATTTGTTGAACAGAAAGGGCGTTTTGCAATATAATTAATCTGTAGGAATTTGTGGGATTCTTAGAGGACTAATTTTTATCTTTTCAATTTTCTTTTCTCTCCTTTCTCTTCCTCTTTCTTATTTATTTATTTATTTATTTAAGAGACAGAGTCTTGCTCTGTCGCCTAGGTTGGAGTGCAGTGGCATGATCTTGGCTCGCTGCAACCTCCGCCTCCTGGATTCCAGCTTTCCTCCCACCTCAGCCTTCCAAGTAGTTGGGACTACAGGCATGTGCCACCATACCCGGCTAATTTTTTGTATTTTTTGGTAGAGATGGGGTTTTACCACATTGACCAGGCTGGTCTTCAACTCCTGAGCTCAAGCAATCTGCCCACCTTGGCCTCCCAAAGTGCTGGGACTACAGGTGTGAGCCATGGTGCCTGGCCTGTCTTTTCAATTTCTAATTGATTTATCTATCCTTTTCAATCAGATTATTGTCCTAACCAATTTATGATCAGTTTTTTTCCAACTAAATTATTTTGGCCAAGTTACCTGGAACTCACCATATTATGCCAAAACCTATTATATGAGCTTCTGATTTTATCCCAAACTCAGATAGGGTGAATCTTTTAAAAATTATCTGTCCATGAGGAGAATGGTTGCAAAGCCAGAGGATGGACTCACTTAGAGCAGGTTAAAAAGCAGGGCCGTCTACCCTCTAGTGCCTGTGGGTGTTTACGTCTGGGCAGTGGCACCAGAAGGCGGGTGGTATGAAGATCCTGACATAGGTGGCCTTGTTTTCCTGCCTGAGAAAGGTACCAGTTTCAGAGCCTGAGGCACTGTCTGACCGGAGGAGAGGCCCTCAACCCTGACGTGAGGGAGAAGTGGAAACGCCAGACCGGTGTGGAGCTGTACGAAGGCTATGGCCAGTCTGAAACGGTGAGCACTGGAGGGGCCAGGTCCCCTCCAGGGCTTCCTGCCTCTCCAGCTGTAACCTCCCTGAAGCTTCTCAGGGACCACCCCACCACTCCTCCACCCAGGGGAGAAGCTGATAACAAAACTCCATCAGCTTTCCTTCCCTTTTGATTTCCATATGTTCTCACTTATAAGCGGGAGCTAAGCTATGAGGATGCAAAGACATACAAAGTGGTATAAAAGACTTTGGAGACTCAGAAGGAGGAAGGTGGGAGGAGGGGTGTGAGGGTAAAGAAACTACATATTGGGTATAATGTACACTACTCAGGTGACAGATGCACTAAAATCTCAGAATTCACCACTGTAGAATTCATCCATGTTACAAAAAAACGCTCATACCCAAAAACCTATTGAAATACACACACACACACACAACAGACACACACACACACACACTTCTTAAAAATTAAAAAAAGGTACTTTAAAGTGCTTTTACAACTATACCATGACCAGCAAACCAGCCCTCACGGTTGAATGCATTGTTTGTCTCTACCAAGACAGCCTACATGTGCGGCTGTTCAGAGTCCCAGATTCTAAGCAGTGTCCTCTACAGTCATCTAGGAAGAGATCTGGGGATCAACTGAGTCTTTTGGCTCAGAGATGCATTAAGTTCTTTATGTTTGAGTGCCCCCTGGAGTGCCCCATAACTGTTTGTTGACTATGGAAAGAAAAGAAGAAAGGCAAGAAGGAAGGAAGAAAATAGGAAGAAAATGAAGAAGGAAGGGAGAGAGGAAATAAAGAAAAGAGAAAGGAAAGGAAGGGGAAAAAGATGAAAGGAAGGAAGGAAATAGTGAAGAAAGAAGAAGGGAGGACAGAGGAAAATGGAGAATGAAATAACGGAAAGGAATGAAATAAAGGAGGAAATAAAATGAAGGAGGGAAGAAAAAAACAGGAAAGGAGAAAGGAAAGAGGAAAGGAAAGAAGGAAAGGAAGGAGTGAGGGAGGAAGAAAAAAGGAAAAAGGGAGGAAGAAAGGAGAGAAATGGAGAAAGGAAAAGGGAAAGAAAGAAGAAAGTGAGGGAGGAGAAAAAAGAGGATGAGAGAAAGAGTTATCAGGCAGGGCGAGAGAAAGGCATGGTCCAGGAAAGAAGCTAAGTGGAAAGGCTCTTCTTTATCCGTACTGCTTTCTCCCCAGGTTGTCATCTGTGCCAATCCAAAAGGCATGAAAATCAAGTCTGGATCCATGGGGAAGGCAGTCCCACCCTACGATGTGCAGGTAGCAGCCTCCCCTAACTTCTGGCGAGGCCTGGCGTGGAGAGGAGAAAGACACACAGGCCTGGCTGGCATGGGCCTCTGGGCTGCTGCAGTAGCCCAGGGTGTAGACGCTCATACATGCACCTCTGTGATCTCCCTGCCAGATTGTGGATGATGAGGGCAATGTCCTGCCTCCTGGAGAAGAGGGGAATGTTGCCATCCGTATCAGACCCACCCGGCCCTTCTGTTTCTTCAATTGCTATTTGGTAAGAGACGGGAACAGCCGTTCTCATGATAGTGACTGTGTGCTAAGCATTGTGCACCACACTTTGTAAATATCTATTTGTTTAACCCTTACAATGACTGCATGAGGTAGGTTACTACTATTATTAGTAAAGTTCTGTTATTGATAAGGAAGACTATTATTGATAAGGAAGCTGCTACAAAGGGGAAGTGACTTATCCAGCATCATGCAACTAGCATAGGCAGGACATGGGATTTAAACGGGGGTATGTCTGAAAGCGCAAAAATACGACATGAGGGCAGCACCGTTGTTTCAATGAGGAGAAAATCGAGGTGCAGTAAAGGAAAGGAGCTTCTGAAGGTCAAACTGCAGCCGGGTGCGGTGGCTCACACTTGTAATCCCAGCACTTTGGGAGGTCAAGGCAGGTGGATCACCTGACATCAGGAGTTCAACACCAGCCTGGTCAACATAGTGAAACCCCGTCTCTACCAAAAATATAAAAATTAGCCAGGCGTGGTGGCACGTGCCTCTAATCCCAGCTACTTGGGAGTCTGAGGCAGCAGAATCGCTTGAACCAGGGAGGAGGAGGTTGCAGTGAGCCGAGATCGCAGCACCGCACTCCAGCCTGGGCGAGGAAGCGAGACTCCATCTCAAAAACTAATAATAATAGTAAATTAATAAATACATAAAGGTCAAACTGCACTATTGTGTCAGAGCTGTCTTCAGGATTCTCTTTGTGGTTTGCTAGCAGGGAACAAACCTGAGATTTCAGTCCAAGTTTCTGGAATAATTTAGTAATTGCTTCTCTTTTGTATTCACCTTGGCTGGTGTTTATGTCAGGCTTTCTTTTCTTCACAGCTTTCTCTATAAAACCCTCAGATCTGACTGTGCACTAGAAACTCCTGGCAAGCGTCAGTTATTGCTGATGCTTGAGCCCCACCTCAGGCTAATTAAAATTAACATTTCTGGTGTGGATCACTTTCCCAGGTGATTCGAATGTGCAGCCAAGCCTGAGAGCCACTGCTTAATAGAAATGCCATCTCATGTGTCTATTAAGCTGTCAATCAACTACAGAATTAGAAGGAGCAGAAACAAACCAGTCCATTTGTTTTTGGAATGTTGCATTTTAATGGTTTTTCTGTGACTACAAGAGAAATAATCTTTTACTTTATTTTGTTTAAAATCACAGAAACTTACAAAAACCCACAACATAGTAATCATGCCAAGCTGAGATCATGTTAACATTTTAATGTATTTTTCTGCTAATCAGTCTTGGAAACAATAGTAAATCTTTGACCCCACTGAAAAATGTATTCATTCATTATTTATTGTCTACTTCGTGCCACTCGGTGTGGAGCAGGACTCTGGTACTTACTGTACTTGTACACATTCTTCCTGGTTGTGAGATCATTCCACTGAGTGTACTAAAGTAATTTGAAAAGTTATTTGCTAGATAAGAATCTTTAATTTTTTTGACTGATTCTTTCCATCACCTGCATCAACAGTTAGTTTTCTTTCCAGATCTTTTTTGTTTTGTTTTGTTTTGCAACACTGTCTTCTCACTCTGTTGCCCAGGCTGGAGTACAGTGGTGTGATCTTGGCTCACTGCACTGCCGCCTCCTGGGCTCAAGCAACTCTCGTGTTCCAGCCTCCCGAGTAACTGGGACTACAGGCGCATACCATTTCACCGGGGTAATTTTGGTATTTTTAGTAGAGGCGGGATTTCGCCACCTTGGTCAGACTGGTCTGGAATTTCTGGCTTCAAGTGATCTGCCTGCCTCGGCCTCCCAAAGTGCTGGGATTACAGGCATGAGCCACAGTGCCCGGCCCAGCTCATTCTTAAGAGAAAAATATTAAATCTCTTCTGTGAGAATCATGAAACGTGAAAATTATTGCAGAGAATCTCAAACCAAAATTGTTCTGTGATTTTTTGATAAGCTAAGCTCATTATCCCCCCACAATAAACATAAACATTTCAAATTCATGTTGGTCATTCCCATTTAGTGGAATTGCACATGTCAGTTACATGAATAGGCCCATGTCAACTTTATAACCCATATAAGGAATATGCTTATTTTCCTAGGGAAACAAATTGTCAAATGCACAAATATTTGTTATAGTGCTAGCTGTTTATAACAGATAAAAAAGGTGGAGGGACTATCTAAATTTCTAATACCAGAAATTAGTTATGTAAAGGATTATATTATATTATAGCATTGTGAACAAAAGCCAAAAAAAAAAGAAAAGAAAAAGAAAGTAAGAAAAAGAACAAAAAGGAGAAAAAGAAGAGAGAAAAAAATTTTTAAAAAGAACCCAAATTTCTAACACAGGAATTTGCTCAAATAGCTAATATCACCACCACACAGAAATATTATGCAACTATTTAATACAGTTTTTTGGAAGCAGGGTCACATTCTGTCACCAAGGCTGGAGTGCAGTGGCACAATCATGGCCACTGCAACTTCGACTTCTTGGGCTCAGGTGATCCTCACACCTCAGCCTCCTGAGTAGCTGGAACTACAGGCACACGCCACCACACCTAATTTTTTTTTTTTTTTTGTAAATGATGGGGTTTCACCATGTTGCCCAGGCTGGTCTTGAATTCCTGGGCCCAAGTGATCCACCTGCCTCAGCCTGCCAAAATGCTAGGATTACAGGCATGAGCCACCACGCCCAGCCTATAGGAGTTCTTAATATATTCTTTATATTGGTCATTTGTTATAAGAGTTGCTAATATCTTCCTCCCCGGTGGTAACTTATCTTTTCACTTTCTTTCACTTTCTTTAAGCTATTTTTATTGAACAGAAGCGTTTATTTCCATGTCATCAAATCATTAAGTTTTTAAGTGTTATGAATAGTGCTTTTTGTGTCTTATAAAATCATTTTCAACTTTGGGGTAGGAAATACACATATTCACCTATAGTTTCTTCCAACAGTTTTATAGTTCGGCTTTTGTCATTTAAGTTTATAATGCATCTGTGGTTGATGTATACATGGTATGAGATAGGGGTCTATTTTATTTTTCTCTATATGAAAAACCAATTTGTTGAATAAATCCTCCTTTTCCCAGTTATCTGTCATGATAATTTTGTCAGATATAAAAGTGTAATATAGGCCAGGTGTGGTGGCTCACACCTGTAATCCCAGGACTTTGGGAAGCCAAGGCGGGTGGATCACCTGAGGTCAGGAGTTAGAGACCAACCTGACCAATATGGAGAAACCCCATCTCTACTAAAAATATAAAAATTAGCTGGGTGTGGTGGCGGGCAACTGTAGTCCCAGCTACTTGGGAGGCTGAGACAGGAGAATTGCTCGAATCCGGGAGGCAGAGGTTGCAGTGAGCTGAGATCACACCACTGCACTCCAGCCTGGGCAATAGAGTGGGACTCCATCTCAAATAAATAAATAAATTTTTGAAAGTTTGATATAGTCATAGTTAGGTTTTGGCACTTTCTTGTATTTCCTTGATCACTTACTCTGTCTCCGTACTGATACCATAAAGTCTTATCCACAAAAGCATTACCATAAGTCTTCTTATGTGGGAGAATGACTCTATCCTTGTTTTTCAACTTATTTAGAAGTGTTTTACCTATTCTTAGCCCTTTGCTCATTCATTTACATTTTAGAATCAACTGTCAAGTTCCTTGGAAAATGTTTGCTAGCATTTTGACTAGAATTGTATTGTCTATAAAACAACTTAGGGATAATTGACATCTCTATTAATTAAGTCTATCTTGTTTTGTTTTGAGACAGAGTCTTGCTCTGTCACCCAGGCTGGAGTGCAGTGGTATGATCTTGGCTCACTGCAGCCTCCACCTCCTGGGTTCAAGTGATTCTCCTGCCTCAGCCTCCCGAGTAGCTGGGATTACAGCCACCCACCACCACACCCGGCTAATTTTTGTATTTTTAGTAGAGATGGGGTTTCTCCATGTTGGCCAGGCTGGTCTTGAACTCCTGACCTCAGGTGATCCACCTGCCTTGGCCTCCCAAAGTGCTGGGATTACAGGCATGAGCCACTGCACCAGGTCGATTAAGTCTTTCTTTCATTTATTTATATCTTCTTTAATGTGTCGAGTTTTAAGTTTTCTCCATACACATCTTAGAGATTTTGTGCTAGATGTATTTCTAGGTATTGGTAGCTTATATTTTTTCTTTTTTCTCGGAAGGTACTTGTTGAATTGAGATATAACTTACCTACAATGAAATTCACCCATGTTACATGTGCGGGTTGATGACTTTTAACACACATACGCCCCTATGTAACTGCCACCACAGTCGAATATGGAACATTTTTCACTCCCAAATCCTCTCTTATTCCCCTTGACAGCCAATCCTCTCCACTCCAGACCCAGCAATTGATAAATTGTTTGTTGTCACTATGTGAATCACTAACTATTCAAATCTGTCTGTCAGGTTTCTTTTACTCAGTATGATGTTTCTGCAAGTCATCTGTGTGTTTTCATGTATTTTTATTGCTGAGTAGTAGCTTTTTCTTTAAAACTTTGAGAATCGGAGTTTGATTGCTTTTCTCTTTCCTCTACTCTTGCCCCACACCAATGGGCTTTTTGGTGAGCCCTTCTCCCTCCCTTCCGTCCTTCCTTCCGTCCTTCCTTCCATCTTTCCTTCCTTCCTTCCATCTTTCCTTCCTTCCTTCCCTTCTTTCTTTCTTTCTCTCTCTCTTTCTTTCTTTTCCTTCCTTCTTTCCCTCCTTCCCTCGCTCCTTCCTTCCTCCCTCCCTCCTTCCCACCTTTCATTCCTTCCTTTTCTTCTCTCTTTCTTTTCTCCCTTCTCTTCCCTTCTTTTCCCTTCCCTTCCCTCCCCTTCTCTTCCATCCCTCCCCTTCCCTCACCTCCCCTCCCCTTCCTTTCCCTTCCTTTTTTTCCTACTTGGAGTAGCCCAGGCTGGAGTGCAATGGCACAATCTCGCAACCTCGCCCTATAGCCCAGGCTGGAGTGCAGTGGTAGAATCTCAGCTCACTGCAACGTCTGCCTCCTGGGTTTAAGCAATTCTCCTGCCTCAGCCTCCCGAGTAGCTGGCATTACAGACATGCCCCACCACACCCAGTTAATTTTTTTTATTTTTAGTAGAGATGGGGTTTCACTATGTTGGCCAGGCTGGTCTCAAATTCCTGACCTCAAGTGATGCACCTACCTCAGCCTTCCCCAGTGCTGGGATTACAGGCATGAACCACCACACCTGGCCTAGCCCTTCGCTTTCTATCCTCAGTGATTCCCAAGCGCAAAGAGTATTCGTGTGTTCTTTTGTCCTAAAAAACACAGCCAGTGGCCCTGTGGGGCCCTTCTAAGGATGGTGGTGGGTGGTTGCCCTTAACCATTCACTGGCAGTTGATTTCAATCAAAAGAGGGAAATCCCATAACTAAAAAGGGCCATAGCTCCCTGTCCATTGGGGAACTCTGGGCAGCCTGGACCTCAGGAACTGCTGAACTTTCTGTTGAGTGATCTCCAGCTTCCTACAGGGGACTACGGGCGCAGTAACTGGCCTTAGCAGCTGTTTCCAGAGGGTCCTTCACGGGCTTTCTTTGTCTTTCAGGACAATCCTGAGAAGACAGCTGCATCAGAACAAGGGGACTTTTACATCACAGGGGACCGAGCTCGCATGGACAAGGATGGCTACTTTTGGTTCATGGGAAGAAATGATGATGTGATCAATTCTTCAAGGTCAAGTTGTCTGCACTTTCCTCCTCCCTTTGAAGTTTCATGGGGGTTGAGGGAAGTCCACTCGGAAGAGTTTGTTTTTCCCTTCCAGCTACCGGATCGGGCCTGTTGAAGTGGAAAGCGCCCTGGCAGAGCATCCTGCTGTCCTGGAGTCGGCCGTGGTCAGCAGCCCAGACCCCATCAGGGGAGAGGTAACTAGTGCACCCAAGAGCACGGCCTCCTGCTTCTGTACTTATTAGCACCCAGCAGAACAAGCAGGAAGGCTCAGATTGTCCTGTATTTCACCTCCATCCATGTGCCACAAAGTTGAAATGCCACCATCAGACACACGTTGCCTTCATGTCTTTAGAGATACAATTACTCTCTAAAGGGACGTAACGGGAAAACACCAACACTTTGCTTTTTAGCAGACACAACTGGGTCCCAAAGAGGCTGGCTATGGGGCAGGAGATCTTAGGGGGAAGTGCAGGCTCTGTTATCCATCCTGTCTAATAAAAAGTCATTTTCTATTTGCAGCTGAGGGCATAGCAAGCACACCAGTCACAGTTTGCTGATGGCTGTAACCTGAGAGGGATAGAATATGTATCCAAAATGACCTTGATATACCAGAAAGATGGGCCAAATTTAATAAGCTGGGCTTTCATAGGAGAAATCTTTTTTTTTTTTTTTTTTTTTTTTGGAGTCTTGCTTTGTTGACCAGGCTGAAGTTCAGTGGCACAATCTTGGCTCACTGCAACCTCCGCCTCCCAAGTTCAAGCGACCTTCTTGCCTCAGCCCCCCTCCCAGTAGCTGGGATAACAGGCATGTGTCACCACGCCTGGCTAATTTTTGTATTTTTAGTAGAGACAGGGTTTCACCATGTTGGCCAGGCTGCAGTCTTAAACTCCTGACCTCAGGTGATCACTCGCTCCGGCCTCCCAAAGTGCTGGGATTACAGGCATGAGTCACTGCTCCCAGTCAGGAGAAATCTTCCTGTGGGTCCCAGAGGAATACATCGTATGTGAAAGATCAGCTTACAGGCAGACTTAGCTACTTTTCACTGGCTTACATCCAACATAATCCTAAAGCACAAGTTACCTTTTGAAAGTTAGTGCAACATCAGCCTGCATTCTCAGAAGCATCAGGACCGCAGGAGAGATTCTCAAAGTCTGGTTCTTGGACTGCTTGCAACTGTATCATCTGAGATGCTTGTTTAAAATACAGATTTGTAGACCTAAAGTCAGACTTATGGAATCATAATGACTGGGAATGCAGCCCAGAGAATCTGCATTTTAGCCAGCCACTCCTGACCAAGTGATTCTCCACTAAAATCAGAGGCCGTTAATATAGAATAAGGGAGGTGTGGAGTCCCATTGATGTGCTGAAGAAATCACACCTGAAACGTATGACTAGTTCTGTATGCCACGAGTTAACTGGGATTGTGACAAATGGCTGTGTGCTCAAACTGAATCCATGTACAGTGCTTAGAACTGAGTCTGGTGCGCAGAAAGTGCCCAACAAATGTTTAGTAGTTACAGTAGTGAGGAAGCTCTTCCTAAAAGCATATCTGTCTGAACATGAAATGATAGTGGCCCTCCTCCCTGTGGGAAGTAAGCAAGGACAGTGAGCTACCCCTTCATAAAATACTGTTAACAGATAGGAATGCTGGAATTAATAAGCATCCGAGTGACCTTCCATTGCTAACAGAAACTGTGTTCTGTTTGTTGTGCTTGAGTCTGGGACACTTCCTCCTCCCTGGCATACGACAGCCTGCAGGAAAGATGTGGGCAGAGAGACCCAAGGTGTAGAATGTCCTTTGGGATGTCTGGAACAGAAGTGGTGCAGTTCAGGGTCTGCTGATTGCAAATGTTCATCCATGCAGACCCCCAAATACCTCGTTCCCCTTGAAATTGACTGCATTTTCCTCAGTCCCACCTGTTCAAACCCATACCTTCCTACCTTGTTAGGAAAATCTGGAAGTAAATGGCCGTAGGAGTGTATGAACCTCTTCTCTCCAAAATATTTGCTTCTTAAGAGAAGCAGTGTTGGCTTCAAATGGTGCCGTTCCAAGTGTGGGGAGTAATTTGAGAAATAGGTAGGAGTTTGAAATCAACCCACAAAGGTCAATGCTCCTAGTAGTCACACCTGGAAAGGCCAGCAAAAGAAAAATTGATGTTGTTTGTGTCACTGACTGTGCCCAAAAAACTAGTAGAACTTTCATGGTGCAAAGGTAAATGTAGGCACTTATTCAAGGGTCACCTCAGGAGAAAAGAGTTGTTATACAAGGTCTGATCTTTTCTGGGTATTTGTGTTGCTGCAGGTGGTAAAGGCATTTATAGTCCTTACCCCGGACTACTCCTCTCATGACCCAGAGGCACTAACGCGGGAACTCCAGGAGCATGTGAAAAGGGTGACTGCACCATACAAATACCCCAGGAAGGTAAACATCAGGGTTTCCAGGGTACAGTGATCTGGGAATCAGATGGCCATGCTCTGCCTGGGCCCCAACTCAGGGCCAGGCCCTGTGACAGGCTCTGGGGATATGGAGAAACTTGTAACCCTGGCTGCTGCTTCAGTTTTTTTCTGTATTTCTTCACTTGGGTTCTCCCCAGAGCACATTTTGTTCTTGCCCTAAGAACAGCCTGATCCCTACCATAAATCAGATACAAGAGGTGGTGCTCAAATGCTGTCAAAAAGATCCTGTGCTCCAGGCTCCAGCTGTTTTGCTCCTGGCAGTGTAGGGGGAAACCCTGAATCAAGGACAGGCAGACAGTAATGGCTCTTTCAAAACAAAAGTCTTTTTGAGGAATGATGATTTCCGAGTGTTTCTTGTTTTGTTTTGTTTTGTGTTTGGTCACTAGGTGGCCTTTGTTTCAGAACTGCCAAAGACGGTTTCTGGAAAGATCCAAAGGAGTAAATTGCGAAGTCAGGAGTGGCGGAAATGAGGTGCAACCCCAGGAAGGCCCCGTAGACCTCCGAAGGCTCCATGAGAAACTAATGGATCACTGGTCAGCCCCCATGGGGAGCATCATCTCTTCAACCCTAAAGATCTCAAAGGCGTGCAGCTTCCAAACGGTATCCCCAGGATCACTGCGCAATGCTGGAAAGAGCAAAAGAATATCATTGGCCCCGACCACATAGATGCTGCGCAGCCTAGCAAATGCTTGGTGGTTTGACTTCTCCCTCTGTCTCGGGGGAGGGCTCAGCATCTGCCCACTGGTCTCACTAAGAGCTTCAGATTTCCCTCTGTAGGACAGGTTACCGGAGCCGTGGGGCACTTGTGAGTACTCATTCTCTGCCAGTGGGAATGTAAAGGCTCCATCCTTTGTATGCAACCATTTGGTAAAAGTATGCAGGACCATAAAATTGGCATCAATACGCCGGGCGCGGTGGCTCAAGCCTGTAATCCCAGCACTTTGGGAGGCTGAGACGGGCGGATCACGAGGTCAGGAGATCGAGACCATCTGGGCTAACATGGTGAAACCCCGTCTCTACTAAAAAATACAAAAAAAAAAAAAACTAGCCGGGCGAGATGGCGAGCGCCTGTAGTCCCAGCTATTCAGGAGGCTGAGGCAGGAGAATGGCGTGAACCCGGGAGGCAGAGCTTGCGGTGAGCTAAGATCCGGCCACTGCACTCCAGCCTGGGCGACAGAGCGAGACTCCGTCTCAAAAAAAAAAAAAAAAAGAAAAAAAAATTGGCAATATCCTTTAGCTCAGAAATTCTACCTTCCTAAGTCACCACAAAAGAAAAAACTCAAAATGCAGAAAATGTGTGGTGCACTAAGATGATCACGCAGCATTGTTTAAAACTAAAACAAACAAACAAACAAAACTAACATCCAAACAACAAGGAAATGATTAACAAAATTGTAGTACATTAACTCAATAACATATAATGTGGCCATTAAAATATTTAAGAGCAGTTTAGTATGTCTTGAGAAAAGTGTAAGCTATATTAATTTTAAAAATCAGAATAAAAATATTTGCATACTGGAGAATCCCAACTCTGAAAAATAAAGGGGAAACTAGTTAATTGTCATTTTCCTGGAGATTGAGGAGGGAGGGAGAGAAAATAATGGATGGTAGTTTTTCTTCTTCCTTTTTCCACTACATTTCTGTATTTCCCAAGTTTTTGTACTAAGCACATGCAACTATTTTAATGAAAAAGTTATGTTAAAGAAAGCACATGCTACTTCATGTCTAGTTCTTCCTCCACATACTCACACATCATTCCCAAAGGCTGCTGTATTATGTCTGTATTAGTCAGCATTCTGCAAAGGAAGAGAAGCAATAGTATATATACAGACATAGGAGAGGGGATTTATGGTGGGAATTGGTTCACTCGATTTTGGAGGCTGAGAAGTTCCACCATCTGCCATCTGCATGCTGGAGACCCCAGGAAGGCCCATTCCATCTGAGTCCAAAGGCCTGAGAACCAGGAGAGCCAATGGTATAACTCCCTGTTGAGTGCAAAGGATCGAGAACCAGGAGCTTCACCGTCTGAGGACAAGAAAACGCAGGTGTTCTAGCCCAAAATGAAGGAGCAAATTCGTCCCTTCTCCTTTTTCTCCTCTTCATGCCCTAATGGATTGGATGATGCCTGCCCATGTGGATGAGGGCAGATCTTCTTAGTCTATGACTCTATCTCTAGTATCACCTGGAAACACCTCCCAGAAGTTAATGTTCATAGCTATCTGGGAACTCTTAACCCCGTCAAGTTGACACCTAACATTAACCATCACAAAGTCTTATCCAGGAGGGGCATAAGGACCTGAAGCCACGGCTCAGGCCTGCAAACAGGAAAGGGTGGTTCTGGGAGCAACCCTGGAGGAAAAGCAGCAGATGGAAACTGAAGCAATCCCAGTGCTGCCGACCCCACCCCTGGCACCGCCACATCCTCCAGGGAAAATTTAGGGAGCACCTACTCAATACCGAGCTCTGAGACCGCAGTGATACACTAAAGCCAGCCTAGTCCCTATCTATGTGAGTTTTCTGGGTCTGCCATAACAAAGTACAACAGACTGGGCCATTTAAACAACAGAAATTAAAGTCCTCACCGTTCTGGTGGCTGGAAGTCTAGGATCAGAGGTTGGCAGGCTTGATTTCATTCTGAGGACGTTTCCTTGGTGTGTAGATCGCCGACTTCTGCCTTTGTCTTCACGTGATCTTTCTTCTGCGTATGTGTGTCTGGGGCCCAATCTCCTCTGCTCCTAAGGACACCTGTTATGTCAGATTGGATTAGGGCCCACCCTCATGACCTGACTTTAACTTAATCACCTCTTTAAAAACCTTGTCTCCAAAGACCGTCACAATCTGGGGTACTGGGAGAAACTGGGGTATCTGGGGTTAGGCCTTCAACATAAGAATTTGGGGAAACACATTTCGGCCCAAATCCTTGTGGAGTTGAGTCTAGTAAGAAGGTCATTATTATTTATCACAGAATAATGCAAATAAATGTACAATTGTAATGCCATGAAGAAAAGAACGTACATTTAAGACAATAGACTGGGGGGACTGATCAAGGACTCAGGGGGCTGAGGTGCAGGAATGTTCTTTAAGAGATCCCTGGGGCGCGGGTGCGGTGGCTTACGTCCTGTAATCCCAGCACTTTGGAGGCCGAGGCAGGCAGATCCACAAGGTAGGATGGATCGAGACCATCCTGGCTAACACGCAGTGAAACCCTGTGTTCTACTAAAAATTACAAAAAGAATTGGGCCGGCGAGTGGCGGGCGCCTGTAGGTCCAGCTAGGGGGAGACTGCGCG